CCCAACCGGCTAGGGCAAGAAATAGCAATTAGAGACCACACAATCTGGGTAGTATGTGAAATACTATATGCTTTTAAAAAGTAATTGAATCTTCAATTATACCAGGAATTAAAGAGCAAGAAGGGATGCAACCATGGAGCAGATGAAATGCACTTCAGGCCTTCCTAGGCCGCGGCCCTGCAGGCATAAGTAAAATGTTAGAATTCGTGGTGCTGACGATCACTGGGTAATGGTTAAGGAGCTGGGGCTGGGGAGAAACATTCCCGTGGCTTGAACACGGCTTGTGTTCCTCCCCAGCTGCCTTCACCGCGTGCCAGGTGGTTTCTCCCTCTGAAGGGCGGTCAGAGGACAGAGGACGTGGCTTTGCTTCATAGTCTGCCGATGAGGCGTGGACACTGGACCTGCACACCCCGGGGCCGCGCGGGGGCCCAGGCCCTGGCGATAGACAGTAAGGGTTTGGTGGGAGGCGGAGGTCTTGCCTAGGAGTCTGCAGACTCGGCCTCGCATCCTGGAGTAGCTGTGGCTGGGTTGTGCTCTCTTTAATCACCCTGTCCCGCGCCTGCGCTCTCATCTGTAAAATGGTAGAGTCTGTGTGCCTGCCTGAGTGGCTTGGGGTGGGGAGTAGAGGACAGTCATCTTTGTCCTAGCTACCAGGATTTATCAGAGGGCCATCCAGACAGAAATCAAATAGATAGAAAATATTTGCTATGATTATGTCTTCTTCACTCCGCGGTAGTGTGATTCCTGGCTATGGGAGCCAGCTGTTTTGATGGACAACAGAAGTCCCCTTGGCCCACCATCTTTCTTCCACTGGCTCTGCGATAGTGCTTGGAATCTTCTTGACTCTCGCCCCTTAATTTTTAGGTACAGGCCTTTAAATGTTGTCTGGGGCAAATGGTATATTATATTATAACCCTGGTTAAAATGATCTTATCTGACTGGATATGTGGGTCACCCAGCAGGTCTCAGAGTGAATGAGCATGGCAAGGCTTCTTTTTATGGGGAGGAAGACGTCTGGAGAGGTCGGGAAGGGACCACAGGGGCAGTTCAGAGGCTGCCCCACTGCAAGGGAAAAGGAAATCCGATGGCAGATCACCAGTGGTATCTGTTTGACAGCATGATTTTATTTTGGAGAACTATCCTTTCCTCTTCGGATATGTTCTCATTGGTTCTTCTTTTGAAGTATCCATCTAGGGAAGGGATAAGTATTATCTGAGTTAGGCCAGTCAGATGTTTTGTTTCAGGGATTAAATCCTGAGTAGAGCAGCACGAAGATAGTGCACTTGGAGGGGACTCATCTCTGTGGTGACACCCTGAAGAGGTTGTTCGGTAGCTCCCACCACTTAGATGGGGGGAGCTGCCCAGATCTTTGGCATTCTTGAACCCGAGTCTTCAATCTCTTTTGCTGCCTTCCATTGAATTTACTCTCTCTCCCTTTCCCTCTGCCTTAAGTTAGCTCTATTTGGTCTCTGTTGCTGGGCACCAAGAATTCTAACATAAAATAAACACACAGACAAAACTTGTTTAATACCACCATTTAACTGTAGTAGTAGAGAAGGAGCTAAGATACATTACTAAGTGCTCTATGTGAAGGCATTTATATCTCTATGATCTCTGCTTTTAAAACAGATGAATATAATTGGCCTAATTCAGAAGAGAAAGCAAATGAAGACCACAAGGAAAAAGCTTTTTTTTTTTCCCCTGTCACAGTGACAAGGGTCAGAGGGCCTGGGCTGTCCTGTTAGTGGAGGTGCCGGCACTGCCCCCATGTGGGGTTATATGCAAATATTGACACAAAATTTTAAATGCTCCCCTTTGACCCAGTAATTTTGTTTCTAGGAATTTACAGATATATCATATAACCAGATATCGCACAGCCACTATAATAAGGATGAGACCTACATACATTCTATATGTAGTTACATTCTCTACTACACATTAAGTGAAGAAAAGCAGAATTATTATAGTTGTATCCAAAATACATAGAAATATGTTTAGAATCATTTTGGGAAAGATTCACAAAATGTGGGTGGTGGTTGCCGCTGGAATGGGAATATGGGCAGGGGAGGAAGCAGCTCACTCTGTATTGTGCTCTTGAATTGGGCGTTGCCTCAGATTTGTTTTCAGCATTATGCTAACGAAAGGCTGGAGGAAGGGACCATTGAGGGCTGGTCTGTCTGCAAAGTCTGCCAGGAATTAAGTGGCCTGTACAATCTTCTTCAAACTACTTCCTGGACAGCTTGAGTTTACTTGGAAAAACAGAGGACTTTGGCCTATTTCTGGCTCTCTTTGTCTCTTGGGGGCCATTGTTTAACTTCATGCTGTTATCAAGTGTATACTTTCCAAGAGGGGGTAAATACCTTATTTTTCCCATTACTACATGGATATTACAGAAAATACCAAGAGTCAAAAGATAGAAAAAAAACAAACAAAAAACAGCCATAATCTTAACACCAGATAATTACTTATCATTTTGCTGTACTTTTTTATAGTCCTTTTATCCATGCCTATCTAAATAATGTATACTTTACATAAATGGGATCGAATGTTTTATAAACTTAACCTGATATTATTAGTAATTTTCCATGCCATTAAGTTTTTTAATATAATTTTTGATGATTTCACAGCTTTTTTCCTGTTACATGTTCATTGTTCATATTCTTAGTTAATTAAAAATTTTACATCTTTTTTACATATGAGAATTTAAAAATTAAAAATGCTTTTCTGTTCTGAAATTGGTGTAAATTTTGCCCAGTGGGACCCATAGCCTACCCTAATGATACCCTAATGTTGCTGAGTGACCAGAGGTGAATAAAGCAGGTGCTGTGTGTGTGTGTGTGTGTGATCCAGCTTGTAGACATTGCATAGCACTGACCTTCAGCCCTGCAGGCCTTCTGCAACTTCTACCACAGTATCAGGCTGTCCCAGGGGCGAGTTTGCTCATAAGCCTTTTGTTATCAATATAGTTTAATCTTATCCTTGTACCAAGCCCACAAAGTTATGATACTGAGAACTCTAACTCTCCTGGATGTCGCTGTGAAAATCTTTCCTCCATAGGCATCAGAAAGTGCTGAGAAGTCTTAGCTGAGCAACGTGCAAGGGGAAAGGAAAGACGATTCTGGACCATTTGCTTTACTGGATGCAGACATTCTTTTAAGTGGTTGAAAAAGGTAAGAATCACTATATTTTCTTGGAGAGGGAGGGATGGGTCTTGAATCATCCATTGCCTCAGAGATCTTGATGACACCCTAAACCTTCACCCCATTTTCTTAGCTTTGGAGACTCATTTTGCCAAAGTTTTACTGTTTACTTTCAGTCTTGAGAAACAGGGACTTCAGCATGGTAAAGATGTGACAAGTGGCTTGCTGTTGTCTAGAGCCTCATCACTGACCTTTCAGGCTTATGCTAGATTAACGGAACCATTAGGGAATGTATTACCCTTTAAAATGTAATCATTGGTTCATTTGCCTTCTGAAGCAGACAAAACATTTGCTTTAATGTTCAAAGTCAGATTTTAATCATTATGAGAAATAAATAATGCTAGTGGCTTCAAAAAGGATTGTAATATGTTGGCAGTAATCCTGACAACAAAATATGAGTGGTGAAACACACATCACTGAAATCTGAGTAAGAGGTGGAAACTTGAATGTTAAATCAAGTACTGCTGTTGACGTGTGCGAAAGGCCAATAGTGGTAATCAGTCAACAGAGAAAAACTAGCAAAAAAAAAAAGTATGGTTTTGTACCATGTCTGTTTGTTAATGGGCTCCTACCACATGACCACATTTACAGATACAATTTGCCTGTAGCTGATCTGGGGGTGGGAGGCCCAGCTGTCATTCATCCATTTTAAATTGCTTTTTTTTTTTTTTTTTTTTTGTAGAGAAGCTGTCTCAGCTAACAGAAAGGCTTATAGAAACGAAAGCTTAGAGCAAGAACTAGATATAATTGGGTTTGAAGTTTGCTACTAAAACAATAGCTAATGACTAGTAAACCTCTTTGGATCATCAGTGTTTCAGGGGCATATCTTAGATGTGCTTCCTGACTTCTAGGGGCTCTCAGTGAAACTTGGGACCAAGATTCAGGACTAATTTGTTCTGCCCTAAGTTTGAAGTTGTTCCTGCAGCTGATGTTGAAGGTGATCATGGTGGTGCCATTGGTAGGAAAGCCTACCAATAACCAGGAAATTTGGGAAGATGTTTCAGTCTCTTTGTCCCTAATGTTGCTGAGCTCATCTCCCAGTTCAGCCCTTTCTCTGATGTGTTTGCTGGTAGACTAATTTTTAACCTCTAGTCCAGAGGTTGCAAAATAAAATGACTAAGACCAGGTAGTAACTTAACTGGACAAGGCCCACTAGGTAGGTTGGAGAAGACATGCCCCATCTAAATGGAACAGCACGTACTAAGTTTTGAAACTCTTGGCACATGGGAATGCTGGCTCAGTGTTGCCATATTTTATGAAGTATTTCAAAAGAAAATTTGAAGTTTCATATTTATAAATGTGGACTCCATAGAAAAATTGTAAGATTTATCTTTTATCTTGCCAACTAAGTCAAACTGAAACAAAAAATAGCCTGGACCATACTAAACACAACTGTTTGTCACCAGTTTACAACTCTTGGGGGTAGCAGCATCTTAGCCACATATGACGATTTGGGGGAGGCAAGTCTTGGGATTCCAATCCCATCTCACTGCCCAGGCTTCCTAAAGCATGGGCTAAGAAAGTAGGCTCTTAATTCCCCACCTGTGATTCCAATAATCCTTTAATGGTAGTCTCCTATAAACTCCCTTCAAGGACTGTGAAGAGCAGAATCTTTGCATTTTGGAACCCAATGATGAATGTCAACATTTTGAGCACTTACTACATTCCATGGAACAAAAAAATTATTACTTGCATTCTCTCCCCTTATTTTTATAGGAATTCTATGAGATAGGTACTAAAATTATCATAATCATATTCCTATTTACAGATGGAGAAACTGAGGCTCATTGTCTGGGATTTCCCAAGTTCAGTTGCAGTAAGTGGCAGAAATGAGATTTAAATTCTGGAGTCAGACTTCAGAATCCAATTTTTAACGACCATAGGATACTTTCTCCTGTTAATGCTATATGACTTTTTAGCTTCTGTGGTTCCTCTGAGCAATGCTGACTTTTCCTCCTAAAATATCCTAAGGAAACGTGGGTGAGGATTTAAAAAATAAAATAATAAAATATCCTAAGGGATTTGTAAGGACATTTTCTGCTTTTCTAGAACACGGGGGCATTATTTTTCCTCATCGTTTGCTACAAGGTTTGCAAAATGTGTGAGATCCTTCTTATCACTGAAGAGGGAAATTTCAGTAACACTTGGCTTGAGACCTGAGATGCCAAACCCCTTTTCCATGCCATTTTCCTATCAGGTAGTATTTAAAGTTAGAGCGTGCAGTTTAAAGGCCTAAGGTATGGATTTCACTTCCATGTGGACAGGATGATTTTACTTAGTCTATGACCACAGAGTAGAGCCCACACCTCAGCAAGTCTTCTCACAAGTACAAACAATGTGGGTGGATCAGTCATCCCCATTGACAGAAGTGCTCCAATCTAAACTCCTAAAGAGCATCATCACCATAAATGAAAACAGTAATGATGTAGCCAAGAAATGCAAGTAGATTTTTGCTTAGTTGACAATGCCGAAGGCTGAGTGGTGGACGCCAGGATGAGTACTGTGCTGAGAAGGATTTGGAAACCCCATCTGAACTCATCAGAGTGCTGCAATTGATTGGTCTTGTCTGCTATGGGCTTGGGATATGGAACCAGTGGTGAGTGTGCTCTCCGTACTTGACTGGTATGGTCTCTTCACACGACAGAGCTAAGACATCTCGGGCAGCTTGAAGCATATGCATTTTAATGTGTGATTCTGTTTTTTTCTGCCTCTTCCTTATTTCTTCTTCCATCTCTGCTTTTTTCTTAGGAGAAATGGCCAAACGTACCTTCTCCACATTAGAGACGTCCCTGATTTTCCTCCTTATAATGATGACTGCGATCACGGTGGCCCTGCTCAGTCTCTTGTTTATCACCAGTGGGACCATTGAAAATCACAAAGGCAAGTGTCATGGGCTCTCTCGGATGCTGTGCCTAGGCCTGCAGAAAGCTTCTTGATTACTGCAGACATCAAGGCAAGAAAGAGTGTCTGTTGATAATGCTGATAACTGGACAGTTCGATACGTACTTAGGCAGCCTGGGATAGCCACCTAACCTTTACATTAAATTGTTCTTTCTGCATTGAAAGCAGTTTTTATCAAGTTTACCTTTGCCCCCAAAGTTGATAGCACCTGACATGCAGTTGTTTCTCTTTCACTTTTCCGCAGATCTAAACACCGTTCAGAATTCTTCAGGGCCCAGTAATGTGAGCTTTTGCCCTGAGCCCCTTTTCTTTCCCTTTGCCTTTTTTTTGGGCATCATCTTCTGCTGGGGGTGAAAGGAGAATGAAAGATCCACAAGTATCAATTAGTCTTTAAACAGCCTTAAAGAAGAGAGTCTTGCATTCAAGTCCTTTGGAGGGCCGATCAAGCTCTGTAAATGAGGTCCAGTGGGGCGGTGGACCAGGATGGGGGCAGCTGCGATTTTGGTGAAGACGGTCCACAGCCCCTCCTGTGCACCAGCTGATTGTTGTTATGATAAACATGGACTCAATTCTCCTGAGTTTTCAAGAGAAGCTAGACATTGGGGTGTTTAGACATATTTTGATTTGATTTTTTTTTTTTTTTTTTTTTTTATTTTTTTTTTTTTTTTTTTGGGTTTTTTTT